CCCTGCTTGATTTCCAGTGACTTTTACTTCCCTCAGTCTACTTGTGTGCACATTGGTTAGTTCCAATTTATTTGAGAGTATTTGTGGTGTTTGCTTTTCCATTCTTTAGATACTTCACCTAGGATAATGGTCTCCAGTTCCTTCCAAATTGCTGCAAAAGGCATTAATTCATCCTTTTCTATGGCTGAGTAGTATTCCATGGTATACATATAGCACATTTTGTTAATTCTTTCATGAATTGATGGGCACTGGGTTGATTCCAAGTCTTTGCAGCTGTGAATTGTGCTGCAATAAATGTTTGAGTGCAGGTGTCTTTTGATTAAAATGACTTCTTTTCCATTGGGTAGATTACCAGTAGTGGGGTTGCTAGATCGAATGGTAGGTCTCCTTCTAGTTCTTTGAGTAATCTCCATACTGTTTTCCATAAGGGTTATACTAATTGCAGTCCCACCAACAGTGTATGAGTGTTTTCTCTCTTCATCTGCACTAGCATCTATTGTTTTTAGACTTTTTAATAAAAGCTATTCTATTAATAACAGGAGTAAGGTTCTCATTGTGGTTTTAATTTCCATTTCCCTGATGAGTAGAGATGTTGAGCATTTTTTCATGTTTCTTGGCCATTTGTCTATCTTCTTTCGAAAAATTTCTGTTAATGTCTTTTGCTCACTTTTAGATGGGGTTGTTAATTTTTTTCTTGTTAATTTGAGTTCTTTGTAGATTCTAGTTATTAGCCCTTTATCAGAAGTGTAGATTGTGAACATTTTGTCCCATTCAGTAGGTTGTCTGTTTGCTTTGTTGATTATTTTCTTAGCTGTGCAGAGCCTTTTAATTTAATCAAGTCCCATTTACTTAGTTTTGTTGCTGCTGTAATTGCCATTGGGGTCTTAAGTCATAAATTCTTTGCCTAGGCTAATGTCTACAAGAGTTTTTCCTACATTGTCTTCTAGAATTCTTATGTTTTAATTACTTTCATTTAAGACTTCTGCCCATCTTGAATTAATTTTTGTGAGTGGTGAGACATGGGGGTCCTGTTTCATTCTTCTACATGTGGCTATCCAGTTTTCTCAGCACCATTTACTGAATAGGTCTTCTCTTCTCCAGTGTACTTTATTGTCTGCATTGTCAAAGATCAGTTGTCTGTAGGTAGACGGTTTTATATCTGGGTTCTCTCTTGTGTTCCATTGGTCTATATCTCTATTTCTGTGCCAATATGGTGCAGTTTTGCTTACTATAGCCTTGTAGTATAGTTTGAAGTCTGGTAATGTGATGACTCCAGATTTGTTGTTTTTGCTTAGGGTTCCATGTTGTAATGGACTCAAACTTTTATTCTGCCTTTTCCAAAGTAATATATTCTCATGGAATTACAAGTTCTAAAGTCAAACTCTTGGGAGTGTCCCTGTTTGGAAGCTCCATCCTGACTAAGAAGTAGCCTGTGGTATGACATCCTGGTCTGCTCATGCCAGGTGGAATTCCACGATGATCGTCCCCAGGGAAGGGAAGTGTGGAGCATGGTGGCCATGTGGAGTGGGCAGAGGTAGGTCAGAACTGGCAGGTTCCTTAAGTGTTCATGCACCAGGCAGCCACAGAACCGGTGGAAAAGGCAGGCAGGACATGGAGCTTTGGTTGAGGTTTCAAGCACACAATGAATTTCCCTGGAAACTGTGTCTGGCCCAGTCTGGCCACAGCACTGGCAGAAGACACTGCTGCTTTCTGGGAACCTGCAGGGACCTGTGAGCAGCACAAGGCACAGGAGCATGAACTGGGGCCCTTCAACATCCACTCTAGCTTCCTCTCTCCTCTGATGTCCACTTCCATGTTAGACCACAATGATCAGTGATAATTTCCACAAGAGTCACTCATTCTTATCCATTCTCCAGCCCAGACCAGCCCTGTGAATATTCTGTTCATCAGCAGCTCCCTTTAATCTTCTAGGGAAAGAACACACATTATATAATTCAGCTTGACTGACACCCTCATAAAATTCTTCCAAAACCCACACATGATGATTTACCCCATGACTGTACACAAAATGCCCACTATGCTCCAGGCCTTGCCCTGAGTGTTCTTGGCACTGAGGGGTCTGTCCTCGCGAAGCTTGTTACAAATACTATTGACCTGCCTCACTGTGCTTACAAAGTGACATAGAGAAGACAGACCCCCATTCATGACATCATTGGAGATTATAATAACTCATGGCAAGTAGGCTATTTACCATATTGTTGCTAGGCAACATCTCACAGCAAGGTGGAACAGAGATATAAGCAATCACATCTGTGTGCTATAACCCTCTCCTCCCCAAGGACGTATTGTTTTCTTTTCTTTTTTATTTTTATTTTTTGTAATTCTTCCATCATCATAATCATAATTCTGATCTCTTGATATGTGAGAGGGACAACTATCAGGAGAAGCAGAAGAACATTTACAATTGTGAGTTTGCACCACTGTCCCATTACGGCAAGCTGAACAGACCCACAGGCCCCCAGGAAGGCTGGAGTGAAGGGCCAGGTAGGAAGAAGGGAAGACACAAAGGAGACAGGAGAGAGAGGTGAGTGTGAAGAGGTAGAGGGGGCGCTACAGAGACAGTGACAGCAACAGAAACTAGTGGGAGAAAGTGAGAGAGACAGAGAGCAGGGTGGGGTGATAGGAAAATAGAAGGTGAACGGGACAGCAGGATACAGAGATAACTAGAATTAGTGAGGGACAAAGACAATCAGAGAGAGGTTCAGGTCTCTAGAATGAAGAGGGCAGAGACAGAGAGAAGAAAAGAGACAAAAATATAAAATAGAGGAGGAGAAGAGCAGCCACGGTGGGGAGGGAGGGAAGATGGGGAGAGAGGAAACAAGTAGGGAGAGATTATGGTACAAAAATCATGATAGAGAAGGAGAGGAGGGAGGGGGATGTAGACACATAGAGAAACAAGGAATGGTACCAGAAGAGAGAACTTGAGTTAGGGGAGAGACAGGGAGAGAGAGAACCATAGAGCCACACAGATAGAAGGCTACATGTGGACACATAGAGTGCAGCATGGTTAGGAAGATAGAGATAGATACATAGAAATAGAGGCAAATACTGAGATGGAAAACATATATAAAAAGCAAAA